TTTTAGTTGACTTATTTTTATTTTCATTGGTCACAATTTCAACTTGTACAGTCCACTCTGGCCTAGTTTTGACTGCTGATATTGAGCTTCTTCAATGATTCCTTCCACAGTCATCAATTTTATTTCTATGCCTCCCATCCGGTTAGATCCATGTACAAAGTCAACATCTGTGTCTTTTTAAAAAGACATTTGCAATGAATAAATCATTTAAAAGACAAAATGCGATCATTCTATTTCCAGCCTCATTTCTATCACCAACCCCATATATTCCACCTACTATTCCTTCTTCACTGTTTTCAACTTTTGCATTCCAGTTACTAATTATCACTAATGCATCCTGACTGCATGTTCGATCAATTTCAGACTGCAATATCTGGTAAAAATTTTCAATTTCTTCCTTTTTGGCTCTAGACATAGGAGTGTATATTTGAATAATAACAGTCATATTAACAGGTATGTGTATGGATAATATCTTATCACTCACAACATTCTATTTCAGGATAGAACTTGAAATAGACTTTTGTCACTATGAATGCAACACCGTTCTTCTCCTGTTTTTCATTCCAGCATAATATATACCATATGATTATCTGATTCAAAGTGGCCAAAGCTAGTCTTCTCATTTCACTGATGCCTAGTATGTCGATATTCATGCATTCCATTTCATTTTTCATTTTTCACAATTTCTAGTTTGCCAACATTCAAGCTATGAACATTCCATGTTCCAATTATTAAATTGTGTTTGCCATTATTTTTCCTCATTTCAACTGACTTCCAATCTGGGCTCTACCACCACTTGCTATAACTATCTGCATTTCTCTACTTTTCATAGGATTTTCAAAACCCTATTATTGAAGAAGTGGATGGCCAATCCTGCTTCCTGTTGTTGTTGTTGTTGTTGTTATGTGCCGTCGAGTCGCTTGCGACTCATAGCGACCCTATGTACAACAGCTCTAAACTCCGCTCTGTCCTGTGCCAATCGCACTGTCTCCGACACTCCCATCCCAATTATCCCAGTCACTGAATCAATCCACCTCATAGAGGGCCTTCCTCTCCTGCACTGTCCCTCCACCCTCCCAAGCATGATGTCCCTCTCCAAGGACCGGTCTCTCCTCACAACATGTCCAAAGTATGTTAGACGGAGCCTCAGAATCCTTGCCTCCAAGGAGCCACCCGGTTTAACCCTTTCCAGGACAAATCTGTTTGTTTTCCTAGCAGTCCATGGTATTCTCAATACTCTTCTCCAGCACCACAGCTCAAAGGCATCAATTCTCCTTCTATCCTCCTTGGTCATTGTCTTAGTCAGTCTTAATCTGGGAACTCTACTAAAACCTGTCCACCATGAGTAACCCTTGTGGCATGTGACACACTAGTAGCATCACTTTCAGTATCACAGCAAACCCACAAGTTATCTCAGTACAGAAAACTGACAACCAAGTGCCGTACCAATTAGAACAATCTTCTCTCCAAACTCAACAAAAGGACAATTTCATTTATAACTCTAAGAGCAAATAAGTCTTCACATCAGGCTCTTGGGAGCCCCAATCAACTTTGAATCACAAAGGTTCTAATTGGTTTAAACAAGAAGCTTCCAACCCACAACTAACTGTTAATTAAATCAACAAGACAACACATCTCACACCCAACTGTTAATGAAATAAAAACAACCTACTTTCAGGAATCCAGTTATAATTGGATTCAATTAAACAGCTGGATTCTAGTGTTGGAAATATTGAATAGGTCCACTATTATGAAAAATCAAGAACAGATACATACACAGAAAGTGGTTCTTTGCTGGTTACCAGGGATGGGACATGGGGGGAAGAAATCACTAACTAGACACTGCACATGTGCTATTTTTGATGATGGGAAAGGCAGAGACAATTATGAGTGAAGTTAGCATAACTTAACCAGTGCAAATAAAGACAGTAGGAAGGACATGAAAAAAAGGGGATAACTGCTAACAACTATATACAACATATATAATTTTGTAACAATAGCTAAAAAAAAATCAAAAGAACATGTGTGGTGTGGTCATGCAGGCAAAAATAGATGTCTATAGAAAAATGGATGTCTATAGAAAGGCATATGCAAATAAATCTGCATGCATATGTATGTGTGTTTGTGTTGTTGTTGTTGTTAGGTGCATTCAAGTGGAGTATGACTCATAGTGACTCTATGAACAACAGATCTGAACCCTGTCCTATCCTGTGCCATCTTCATAATCTCTGAAACACTCAAGCTCATTGCTACTATTACCAATCCATCATTACTATTATCAATCACTAGCACTGATGATCCGCATGGTGAGGGTCTTTCTCTCTTTCATCATCCTTTCTAAGCAGGATGTCCCTCTCCAAGGAATAGCTTAGCAAAGGGTGTCTCCTAACAAAGTGTGTTTGTAAGTTGTTGTTGTTGTTGTGTGTCATTGAGGCAAAAGTGACCCACAGCTGACCCTCTGGCAGGTTTTCAGAGGCAGTTAATCGCACATGAGTAGAATGCCCATCCTTCTCCTACAGAGCAACTGGTGGATTTGAACTGTGAGCCTTCAGGATTGCAGTGCAGCTTCTTGCCTCCAAGCCACCAGTGCATATACCTTATATAAATGTTTGGTGCATAATATCTACATGCATAACAAATCAAATAGGGAGCACCACTCCAGAGGCTTCCTAGACACATCCAGTGAGAGACTGGTTTACCAGGTTAAAAAGCTTGGGACAACAGTCTTGAGGAGTAACTTAAATCAGTTGGCAAGATATAATTTACAAAGATAATGGTCTACATCCTTGTTTGGTGAGTGTAGTATCTGAGGTCTGAAAAAGCTTGTGAGCGACCATCTGATACAACCATCAGTCTCTACTTACATGGAAAAAGTAAAAGACTCAAAGAAAAAACCAGTCTACCAGGTTCACAGCCCACAGGAACCGCAGCCTCTCCTAACCCGAGACCACGGGTGCTCGACGGTGCCCAGACACCACTACCAACTATTCTCATCAGGGACACAACAGAAAGTCCTGAATAGATCTGAAGGCAAAAAGCAAGGAACCAAATGCAAATTCTTAAAAATAAATCATAATGACTGGCCTGAAGAGACTAGCAGAATCCCAAAACTACCCCCTAAGAGAATCTTTGAACACGGAATTGAACCTATTTCTGCAGGATACCTTGCAGCCAAACAGACGGGCATATAAAACAAATAGTGTTAGCCGTGAGTAATGAGCTCTCTTCAATAATGAACTATATGAGACCAGATGGTCAACACTTACCCAGAAACCAAGCCGAGAAGGCAATGAGGAAAAAGCCATATCAACAAAAACAGAAATAAAAATAATGAGAATCTTGACACATTGTAAAAATTGTGACCAATGACTAGAACAGTTGTATAAAAATTGTTAAATTGGAGCTTAATATGCTGTATAAACTTCTACTTAAAATACCATTTTTTAAAAAGTAGAGCTAGAATCAGAATGTTTTTAAAAAACTGCTTGCTTTGGTAGCACATATACTAAAACTGGAATGATACAGAGAAGATTAGAAATGGCCCCTGTGCAAAGACTACATGCAAATTCATGAAGCGTTCTATATTTTTAAAATACTATATAACATGGGAGAGGCTAGAGACCTTTACGCTGAGTGAACTAACTCAGTCTCATAAGGACAAATATTGCATAGGACCATTATTGTAAAAACAGGATAACTAGTAAGATGTGTATAAAAGTCCAAATGGGAGAGGGGAAAATCCCCAGGTCACAGAGGTTTATGGGTGGAGGGAGGGGGGTGATGCATTAGAAAAGATTCAGTGAGGACCCTCTGAAAGATCAGGGTGATAGTGAGCATAGACCAATGGTGATTGGTTTATTAAAACACAATTTATGCGAATGATCATATGAAACACAATGTGAATGAAGCCGTGTGAAATACAATGTATACAAATGAAACACAATATATACTAATTCTGTATGCAAACCAATATAAAATAAATGTAGATATAGATATATAGAGGGGGGAAGAGAGAGAAGAAAGATAGATAGACAGATAGATAGATAGACAGACAGACACAACCTTTTGTCATCAAGTTCTATTTCAACTAGCAGTTACCTTGTAGGACAGAATAGGACTGTGAAATAGGATTTGAAAGGCAAAAGATCTTTACAGAAACACACTGCCACACCTCTCTGATAACTTTTTGGTCAAAGCCCAGGGCTGGGCCACTGGACCACCAAAACCCACTGCCAGTTGGTGGGTTCACATTCATGGAAACCCCATAAAACAGAACTGCTTTGTGGGGTTTCTGAAGAACTTCTTGGCAGCAGACTCATCTTTCTCCCTGGGTGTGGCTGGTGCATTTGAACCACTGAACTTTTAGATGAGAGACCAAGCACACCCCCAGTGCGACCTGGGCAAAGTCAGGATGATGACCTGGTAGCAGGCTCAGCAGACATCTCCAAGGACATACGGGACAGTTCAAGGAGTCATATGGCCCTCTACTCAGCCCAAGAAGCCTCAGAGGCCCTGTGCTCACTCTGACTTGAGTAGACTGAGCAGGTAGGAGAGCGAGGGATAGAGGTGGGGTGTCCTGGCTGACCCGGTAGCAGGTTTTCAGAGGCTGTAGGTCACACGGGGGAGGAGACTGCCCATTTTTTTATCCTAAGGAGCCAGTGGTGGATTTGAACAGCCAGAGAGGCACCATTACAGGGATGGCAGCACCTCTCCCTAGGGATTATGCCAGCAGAGCTCACAGAGGTACAGGGTGTGTCTTAAACCTAACCACTTCGGAACTAACAAGTGGGACACAGACCCCCGACACAAGGGGCAAGGGAGAGAAAGGGACCCCCGGCGAAGGCAAAGGCACAAAGCCCATCCTGCAGCTCACAGGAAGAGGAGTTCCAGCCTCCTGACCTGGGAGAAAAGAAATGTCTCCTCTGGAAAGCCACAGTCAAGTGCTGCTCTAGAAGACGTAACAGCACCTACTGAGTTCCAGCACTGACTAAGACACCTACCGAAGCCACAAAGAGGTCCCCGATCTTCTCGGTGGAGTCCCACTCGGCCACGCGGGAGGACAGGGCGATCTGGAACATGGAGTGGCAGTGCAGGATCTCCTTCACGCGGAAGAACACCACCTGGCACTTGCGAACGCTCAGCACCTTGGGCTCCATCTCCATCAGGGGGTTGCGGTAATCCTGAGAGGGTCAGAGGTGGTTGAGGACCCTGAAGGTCTGACACAGCCTCACCAAACCCCAGTGTTCATGGCCACCTGGGCAAGGTCATCAGAACTTGGGGTGGCAGGGGACCCTTGCTGTTGTGGCAAGCACTCACTCCCCAGGAATGTAGCATGCTGGCTTCTCTTGGCCTAATCTAACCGCTGCATCTCTGTTACAGTGAGTTGAGAAGGGAGCTCCACGGGCAAGGCTGGCCTCTGTGTGACTCTTAAGACTGAGCCATCCCCGGGCAGTGCAAAGAGTTAACTTGCTTGGCTGCTAAGAGAAAGGGGAGGCTCAAGTCTACCCAGAGGTGCTTTGGAATAACGTCCAGGTGCACTTTCGAAAAAATCGGCATTGAAAACACTATGGAGCACAGTTCTGCTCTGACACACCGGGTTTCCCTGAGGCAGTGTCGCTGGATAGCAACAGCTGGGATGGTAAAGGGCTGAGCGAGCTGTGCCGTCGAGCAGGGACGTGGGAGCCAGCTCACCAGGATCCCCGGCCTCCAACCAGAAACAGTGACACTCAAGTCTGACGCCTGGGTCTCTACAGGCCCGACTCTCTGTGAATCCAAACTCTGGGGGGTTAGCAACCCCCAAACTCAACAATCCCCTTTCCTGCCATTCAGATAGCCCACAACATCACAGGTGATTCACGTTTCAGGAGTGCAAAGCTATCAGCCCAGCTGGCACACCTTACTCAGGTACAACCATCTCCACAGCAATCTCTGGGCATCCTGACCATTTAACAAAGAGTACAATTATGCCTCCTGCCCTGGGGAGCTGCAGGATGATGGGAAATGTGACCCCTGACCCAGAGGGCACCAAGGATGGTGAGGACAGCACAGTTCCTTCTAGACACGAAGGTGAACACATGTCCTCAATTCTCCAGGACAGCCCCCATTTGGAGGACTCTCAATTCTGTTTCAGAACATACGCTGCTTAGCCTTCGTACTAGAGAATCGGGAACTCTTGGTGTCCCCTACTTAGAAGTCCTGCTGGCTTTTGGCCTACCCTTCCCCTGGAAACTCCTAGTCCCTTCTCTCTAAGCCCCTTCCATGGAGCCTACCCGGATGTCTTACCTGTAGTATCCGCTTCAGAGACTCCACGTAACTGCCTTCGCTCTGCACAATGGAGCCCAGGATGTGTCTCCGGACCACCTGGTCGAGTCAACAAACACAGCAGTGAACCGAACAGCCCCCCAGCACAGAGTGAGCACCTGCAGCATGCCCAGCCCCAAGGGACAGGGAGAGGGAGGAGCTGGAGCCCTCAGGAGGGCTGACAACTACACAACAGGAAGGACTCTTTGCTCCTAGACCCCACGCTTAGGACCTCTTGGGTCTGCCTGGCATGAGTTTTTACCCTACAGCTCTCTGCTCACCTAGAGAAACACCCACAGTCCCCAGAATGCAGAGAGGGGGCATCCCTCATCTCCATGAGTCCCCTGCCAGCCTCTACTCCCGCATACCCAACGATGCTGAAATCTCTGCCTCACCCCAGGGTGGTGGGAAGCTGCCTACATTTTTGGATTTCAATCACCTCGTATACATGTGGAAGTTGGACAGGAAATAAAGACAACTGAAGCCCTGATGCCTTTGAACTGTGGTGTTAAGACAAATAATGATCACATACCGCCTAAAAAGTAAACAAATGGTTTGGAAGGAATGCATCCAGAATCCTCCTTAGAAGCAAAGCTTGCGAGATTTTTTTTTGTCTTAATGCACTTTGTTCTATTATCAGGAGAGGCCAGTCCCTGGAGAAGGGGCTTGATAAAGTCAAGGGTTAGAGGAAAAAAGGAAGCCCTTCTAAGAGGTGGACTGAGCCAGTGGCGGCAGCTCCACGCTCAAGTACAGTGGGGGCTGTGCAGCATCGCCCATGCTTCTGCCCAGGCCTCACAAGCAGAGGAATGCGGGTTCTCGCCCTGCTTCCCAGCCAGCAGCTCAGACTGGAAGGAAAACAACAGGGCTCAGCCAAGGTCACAGTTACGGGATCCTGCCTCAGTGTAACACCCTGGGAGGAGGAGGACACCCCTCAAAGAGCCTCAGCCCCAGGGAACTCAGGAGGACCCGGTGGCCATGCACCTGCAGGCACGTGTAGTGTCCTCACTGATTAGGCTAGTTCGGTGTTTTCTGACCACCTACACTCAGTGGACGACACTGCAGCCCTTCCTCCAATCAGCAACTTGCTGTAAAGCAGGGAAACAGGAGCTACTCTGGTTTCCTGGGAGGTGGGAGGCAAAAGCTCCCAAAATCCAAATCCTCACTCCCATCCCAGCCCACTCCCTATTCCTGACTCCCCGGGTCAACAGCATGGAAGCAGTGGGTCTAGTTTGGAAAAAAAAAAGAGAGAATCTAGGTGTCTGGGGCTCTGCCAACAGCACCAAAGTGTTATATCTCATTCAAAACCTAGAGCAGGGTAGTCCCAGTAATAGCCCAACCAGCCTGTCCCCACACACCTGCTGAGGGCTCAAGCCATCGGGCATGGGACCCAGCTCTGGGGCTGGGGGCTTGATATCTGAAACGCTGACCTCCAGGAGCCCCATGTCCTCCTCCTCCGAGTCACCTGCAAAGTCAAGTAGGTTGGTGATGCAGACACAGCAGGGGAGACCCAGGAGCCAGGAACAGAGGACCAACCTAGACCGGCCCAGCGAGGCATGGATGAGCCACTGGGGTGGGGGGTGGTGTGTGTCTCTGGGTTGGGGGTTGGAAGGAGCAGAGGGATTAGAGGAAACTTCCTAGCCGCTTCCAGGGCCTAGAATGTTCCATTGGAGATGTGCAGAGTGTGAGCAGGAAGTGAGTGAGTGAATGATGGAGTAAATGAGCGAGTGAGTGAAGTAATGAGGAAAGCAGTGAGTGAAGAGTGGGTTAGAGAATGAAGGAGTGATGAGAGAGAGTGAGTGAGTTAAGGACTGAGTGAAGGAGTGAGTGGGCAAAGGAATGAGTAAGTGAGTTAAGGGATGAGCAGCGAATGGCTGAATGGCCAGAGAGGGGACACAAACAGCATCCTGGACTGGCCCATGCTCTCCCAAGTCACCATCTCTGCTCGGACTGCCCGCCCTGGCTTGGTGAAGGCCAGTCCGCCCATGTCCCCAACACCATACACTAAAAATAGTTTTCCCTGGATGCTGGAAAGACTGAAGAAAATAAGCCCCTAGAAAAGTGAGTTACTTGGCTTTCTGCTTTTACTGGGGGGGGGGGGGGGGGGGCGGAAGGTGGCCTAGGGAACACCCTTGAAGGAATTTTTTTTCTTTTTCTTTTCAAAGTGAAGGGGGGGTGGAATCCCCAGAGACCCAAAGTGGAAGGTTCCTCTGGTGTCTGACAGGGAAAGCGGGGTGAGTGGGGGCAGCCAGACAGCCTCAGGCTGGTGGCTGCATTCAGGAAGGTTTGGGGTCGGGCAGAGTACAGGGGTCTGTCCTCAGAGGGCTTGGCCCCCAGAGAGCGGTGCAGGCACCGGGCAGAGGAGCCGGCACCGCGGCGGTCCTGGAAGCAGCCGTGACCACAGGCAGCAGGAAGTGGGTGCCTGGAGAATGCCGGGGAAGAGAGAAAGAAGAAGTGGCAGTGGTCCCAGGGCCAAGGGAGCAGAGACGGCACAGTGGGCACTTACCTGAGCAGGAGACAGACGAGGAGGAGGAGGAGGGACAGCGGACAACCGTGTGGGGGTGTGGGTGACCAAGGCCCTCCTGACTGGCCCACATCGCGCCCTGGGCATCACTCTGCACCCACCCCAGCCACCGGCCACGCGGTTTCCTCTTCCCCCATGAGCCATTGGGTAACATTCTTGGCTGGAGATCCGAGCCCTGCCGTCGCTATTAATAACGTCTCTAGTGGAGGGTCACTTTAGGAAAGGCTCTGGGTTACTGGGCGGGGAGGGCCTGCTGGCCAGCTCCCCGCCTGGAGGGGGAGGGTGACAGGGATCAGTTCTCAGTCAGCCAGCCTGTCCACCCTGTACTTTCTCCGCCTACTCCACTGACTTGGCCATGACCACCCAGCCCCATCTGGGGGCTGGTGCAGGAACATGAAATGAGCACCCAACAGGTGCTGGGCACCACGCACACCTCCTCCTGGCTTAGCTGCCAGGGCACCAAGAAGACACGCCCCCCCTTTGGCCCCCTTCCCCGCGTGGCCCGGGCAGTGGCCTCACCAAGGACATCTTTTCTGTGCAGAAAGGACACTTTGCGCATGACGGCTATCCGCGTCTTCTCCAGGCCGTCCTTGGTCCCGCTCTTGGCGGCCTTCATGAGCTGGGTCATCTGAGCAAAAGCAGGGGGGCTCATCAGAGAGGCTGAGGGAGGGCCTGGGACGCCTGTCACCAAGGGCCACCAACACCACTCCTGGCCCAGGCTGCAGGCGCAGGACGTCACCTGGGTCCATTCCCTCCCAGGGAGGTGAGCAAGAGGTCAAGAGGGTCGGGGAGTGTCAGCCCGAGGGGCCCCCAGAGGAGAGATGGAGGGTCCTTCTGCCCTTGAGATCTCCCAGGAAAGTCGCCTTTATGATGAGAGGGCAGCAGGAAGTGGGTGCCGCCTGGACTCTGGGGAAGGAGGAAGGCGTTAACTCAATTCCTTCCCTTTGGAACAAACTACAGAAGTTGGCATAAAAGTAGGGAGCTGGCATGTCACTGGGGTAGCACTAGTGGTGTGGCACCAGGGATATGGCACTGGGGTGGTAAGTGGGCAATGACATTGGGACTGGCACTAGAGGTGTGACATGGGCATGTCCCTAGAGACCTGGCACTGAGGACAGGGCATGAGGGTGACACTATGGGGACAGTACCAGGAGGCGGCACTGGGGATGTGGCACTGGGAGGCACTAGAGATGCCTCTGAGACTGGCACTTGGAGTGGCACTCAGTGTGATACTGGGGCATGTCACTGGAGATGTGACACTGGGGACTTGGCATTGGAAGGAGGCACGGGGTGGCATTAGCGAGATAACGCCGGGGCTAGACGCCAGGTGTTGTAATGCGGACATGACACCAGAGGCGTGGCACTGGGGAATGACACCGAGAGCATGGCACCAGGGGTGTAGTGCTGTGAGTGCGGCACAGAGAGTGTAGTGCTGTGAGTGCGGCACAGAGAGTGTGGCAATGGAACCAGCTTTGGAGTGTGTCACTGGGTGTGGAACCAGGGGTCCTCTTGGGGACAGGGCACTGGGGTGGCTCTCAGGGGTGGCTGTGGGTGCAATGTGTAAGGCTTAGGGTCAGAGGCTCTGCTCCCCAGAAGCATGACTCTTCCACATCCTCAAGCAAAACAGGAAAATGGCAAAATCCGGTCCTCAGGAGATTCTGGGACAGATGAGCTGTATGAAAGCACCTGTAAATGTGCTGGACAAATCCCTGATGGCAGCATCGTACGCCGGTGATTCTCAAAGGGCAATGAAAAGGAGGTGAGCACCTCGTCCCATCCACTGAACCCAGTGGGGAAGCCCATCCCTCAGCCCCTAAAGAGACAGATTTCCAACTGAGCCCTGCCCAGGGATGCGGAAGAAGGCTGGGGCAGAGACGCCACTGCAGAGCAAGATGCAGCTTCCTCTTGTGCGGAGGGGTCTGCGGGCAGTAGGGCAGCAAGCTGAGCACAGACAGAGCACACGGAGACATGAGACCCAAGGGGCAGGGACCCTGGGTGGCAGGAGGCCTGCCTGGGAAGAGAGCTGCTGTCCTCAAAGTCACCAGAAGAGAATGAGCAATGAGGGAAATCCAGTTCTGCACTGTTACCGAAGCACTTGAGATGTGACTGGTACGACTCAGGAACCAGTTTCCTAATTCTATTTCATTAGAAAATAGCTTCCATTTACATAGGCACGTGGCTGCGATAATGGACAGCACAGTCCTAGAAAACCGGCTCTTTGCTCACACACTGCTGGCTGGGGAGCACTACTCATCTGGAGTGGGCAATGTCTTCTGGTTGCTTCTGTTCTCCTATCAATTCTCCAAATAGCCGTGTGGCCCACAGCTTATGGGGCCCAGGACTTCTGGGAGGGGCTGGGCAAGCAGTGCAAGGCTGGAAGGCGGGCGGGGGCTCTTCAGGAACAAAGCTGGCTTTCTGGAAACAAGCCCTGGGCAGAAAAGGGAAGTCCCTGGTCCCCTCCCTTCATCTTGATGGTACAATTCTTAATTCTCCAGCAGTGACTCACTCGTGGTTGGGGAAGAATAGTGATAAATGCCTGTGAGACCCTAATGGTGGGATAGATGTAGACCCCAGAAATGGCACATAGGACCTCATTTTCTTCTGGGTATGGGGGAGATGGGAACTGGTGTGTTACAACCCCAATTGGAAACCCTATTCTCAGTTCCTATCCTGACAGCAAATTGTCAATGGGGCTGTCTTGAGTTCCCGAAAACCGTATTTAGGGGAGCTCTGGAGGCCCCTCTCTGGGCATTTTACTAGGCACAAAAGGGCACCAGGCAAATGTCCAGGAAGGTGTCTGTGTTCACTTGCATGCCCACTGGTAAAGGCCAGGGCAGGACCCTGTTGCTCTAGGCTGGGCTAAGCACCCTGGTCTGAGCCTCTGCCCTTGCTCCCTGTCCCTCTAGGAACCTCTGCTCTGAGAAGATATAACTGCTCCACTCCTAGGTCATAAGCCTTCAGGGGGCATCTTTCTGTGAAAGGACTTCAAAGGGCATCCCTCAATCCTCTGAAGAGGCCAGGGTCTGCTGGGATGGACACCCAGACCCTGGCATCAAGTAGACCTGGGTTTGAACCCCAGCTCTGCCACTTACCACCTGTGCGACCACTGGCCAATCACTTCACTCACTGGCCTCACTGGTTTCATGACAAATGACAGCTGATTCCCAGGGTGCCATAGGGACTCAGTGGTCAGTACATGAATAGCAACGGTCACTGTCCGCTGGGACCACCAGCAACTGGGCTGCTTAGGTCGTGCCAAGCAGCTTACGGACTTGGTCTTATCCCATCCTCACATCTACTGTCGGGCACCCATTCACCGATGATGAAACCAAACTTCAGAGAGGCCAGGTGACCAGCCTAGGATCACACAGTGAGGAAGTTATAGGACAAGGACTCAAAGCCAAGATATGCTTCTCCAAAGTCCATGCTCCTAAGGTCAGCAGGTAGGAGATGTCCAATTAATGGACACTACTGCAGTCCTTCTGTTGTACACAGAGGGCTTAAGAGTTGGAAGTGACTCAAGTATACTGAACAACTCTTGTCATCTTTCCTGAAGACTAAGTTCTATCCAAGAAGGGCCTGGTTTTTTTTTTCAAGGCTTCCTCATCTCAGATCTCTGAACAGCCTGGAAGGAGAGGGGAGCAAATGGGTCCAAAGTCACCCATTACAGTGAGGCATGCAGATTCCTGGGCCCCAGACTGGAGCTACAGAACCAGCATCTCGGGAGGTGGATGGAACCCAGGAACCTGCATTGCTTACAAAGTGCCTGGTTCCAGAGGCCCTAACATGTGGAAACCCACCTGAGAAGAAGCTCAGGAGAAGTCTGGGTTTGACTTGAAGGCAGGGGCTGAGAAAGGGGCAAGACCAAGGGAGGGATAGCTGGCTAAGACAGTGACCAGTTACCAAATGCACCATCCAGCCAGGTTTCCAAGGCTGGGGACAGCAAGGGGCAGGTGCCAGGGGCTGAGACCCACCCTCTGGGGCCAGGAAGCAGCAGAGCATGCCCCCTGGAAGCAGCTCCAGCTCTGGAACGGCCCCCACCGAGGATATGGGAGGCGCGGACGGACAATACCTTCCAATCGTACTTGTGCTTCAGCTCCTGCATGTCTTTCCCCCCAACTCTTAAAGCCAAGATGTCTCTCTTAGTCCTGGCGTATCTCTCCTTTAGCCTAGTGAGGTCTGGAGAAAGCTGGAGCCCCCAAGCGGCCAGGCAGGAGGAGAGCAGGTGAGAGGAGCAGGCGGGACAGGGAGGAGACAAAACATAAGACAACAGAGCAAAAAGGAGACTTTGGTCAAGTGGCCCATGGGCGATTCAGGGCAGGTGGGACTCAGAGCTGAGATGCCTGAACTCAAGCAGCAGTCCTGGCCAAGCCTGTCGCTGGGGTCTATTCCAGCCGCGTCCAACCCCAACGTGCCAGGCAGGTGGGGGCTGCTGGGTGTTTGCAATAGGGAATCCTGGCTGTGAGGGAAGAGAGATGAGAGGGGAACAAGCCAGATCTCCCATTCTCTGGGGAGAAAAACAATTTTCTGAGGACAAGGGCTGTGTTGTGGTTATTGGCCCACCGTCAGAGTCCAGCACAGGGCTTATAACATAAGGGGTTCTCTGAAAGTAGTGGAATGAATGTATGGGCAATGGATGAACGGACAAATGTAGAGAAAGATGAATGGAGGCCCAGATAGCTGGGAGGGTGGATGATTGGGTAAGTGGATGGAAGAACAGACAGATGAACAAAGAGATGGATGAATAGCTTAGAAAGCAGAGGATACGTGGGTGGGTGGGTGGATGCACAGATGGTCAGTCAGGTGAGTGAAAGAATGCAAGGCTGGGTAGAGGCAGTGATGGACAGATAAATATTTAACAACTATTTCCCAAGAGAAAATGCACGTCTTTGTAGTGCTACAGTCCCATGATGTGCATACTCCCACAGTGGACAACTTCAAGTCAACTCCAATGTGTTACCACTGAGCAGAGTTGGAACGTGATGCCTGCAATAGGTCCTACTGAATCTACTGAGGTAACACAAACTGGCGTAAGGCCATCACTGGATGAGGTGGTCTGAGAAGTGGACAGATGGATAAATGGTACGTCGGTGGATGGATGGATGAGAGATGGACGGACGGACGGTTAAGACTTCTGGGAAGATGGATGGATAAGTAAACATAGAGATGTTTAAATGCATGAACTGCTTAAGCAGCAGGGACATTTAGTAACGTACACAATCAAGACAGGTACAACTCCTACAACAGCAGACAAATAAAGCAACCAACAGTGTGTGCTCAGGGGGTAGGCAGTACATTCAAATAGTGGCTCCCTAGCGACTAGCTGGAAAAGCCTCATTACTTCTGTGAGGCGCAGATTTAACACATAATGAAAAACATGCAACAAAAATTACATGAAAAGCCAAGAATCAGTGAGTGCTTGAAAATGGAAGCCATTATTACTATTACTATTCTATATTTCAAAGTATCGTGCTCACTATTTATGCTAATGGATGGATGGATGGATGGATGGTGGTTGGATGAATGGATGGATGGTGGTTGGATGAATGGATGGATGGGTGGATGGATGGATTAGATTGATGGTTGGGTGGATAGATGGATGGTTGAGTGAGTGGGTGGGTGGATGGATGGACGGGTGGATGGATTAATGGATGGATGGTTGGGTAGATGGGTGGGTGGATGGATGGATGGATGGATGGATGGATGGATGGATGGAGGGTGGATGGATGGATGGATGGATGGATGGTTGGATGGTTGGGTGGACGGATGGATGGATGGATGGTGGATGGATGGATGGATGGATAGATGGATGGTTGGGTGGATGGATGGATGGATGGATGGATGGTGGGTGGATGGATGGATGGATGGATGGATGGTTGGATGGTTGGGTGGACGGATGGATGGATGGATGGTGGGTGGATGGATGGATGGATGGTTGGATGGTTGGGTGGACGGATGGATGGATGGTGGATGGATGGATGGATGGGTGGTTGGGTGGATGGACAGATGGATGGATGGATGGTGGGTGGATGGATGGATGGATGGATGGATGGATGGTTGGGTGGATGGATGGATGGACGGGTGGGTGGATTAATGGATGGATGGTTGGGTAGATGGGTGGGTGGGTGGATGGATGGATGGATAGATGGGTGGGTGGATGGACGGATGGATGGATGGATGGATGGATGGTGGGTGGATGGATGGATGGATGGATGGTTGGATGGTTGG